AATAGAAGGATATTTCATCTACATTGAAAATCTGTCATTTAGTGTAGGCGCTTTCATCAATTATCTTAGCTGGATATTCTGGAATACTTGTGCAGCTTGTACATCAGCAGTTGCTGCTTCACCTTCCACTTTTACGTATGGAGATGGCTTCTTTCTTTAAACCTCATGTACAAACGTCTGCTAAATCCAAACTTCTTCTGCAGCTTCCTCACCTTTCTCTGCCTTCATAGAATTGAAGAGTTAGGACTTTGCTTTGGCTTAGGCTGTGGCTTAAGGAACTGTTATGGCTGGTTTGACCTATCCAGACTACTAAACCTTTCTGCATATCAAAAATAAGGCTGTTTTGCTTTCCTTTCCTTTGTGTGTTCACTGGAGTAACACTTTTAATTTCCTTCAAGACTTTTCCTTTGTAAGAGTAGCACTTTTAATTTCCTTCAAGGGTTTTCCTTTGTAGTCACATCCTGGCTAAGTGTTTGGTGCAGGGAGCCTAGCTTTGGTCCTACTGGCTATCACTAAGTTATGCCTTTTTACTAAGTTTTATTATGTCTAGCTTTTGATTTAAAGTTGGAGATGTGTGACTTTTTCTTTCACTTGAAAACTTAGAGGCCATTGTAGAGTTATTAATTGGCCTAATTTTAATACAGTTATTGTGTCTCAGAGAATACGGAGGCCCCATGAGAGGGAGAGAGATGGGGCTAGGGGACTGTGGGGGAGGAATGTTGGGTGGTGGAGCAATTGTAACACACACACACACACACACACACACACACACACACACACATATTGATTCAGTTTGCCATCTTATATGGATGGGGTAGTGGCATCCCCAAACAATTACAATGGTATACTTAAACATCACTAATCACACATTACCATAACAGATATAATACTAGTGAATGAGTTAGAAGCATTGCAAAAATTACCAAAATGTGACACAGAGACATGAAGTAAGCACATAATGTTTGAAAAATGCCTCTAATATATCTGCTGGATGCAGGGTTGCCACAAACCTTTAATTTGTCAATAATGCAGCATCTGTGAAGTACAAGAAAGCAAAGTACAATAAAATGAGGTGTACCTGCATATTTAAGTTTTATAATTTCCATTTTTCAAAACTTGTATTTATTTGCTGAGGGTTTTTTTTGGTCTGTTTTGAGTTCAGTGGAATTTGTAGGTGGTTGTTGAAGCATTTTAATGATGGCTGCTTGAAAAGTGTAATTTCAACATCTGATTTATGTGTTTGTTGACATCTGTTGATTTTTTTCCCTCCATTTCATCTCATTTGACATGCACATTAGGGAACTCTGAAATTTAAATTCTTTTTTTTTTTTTTTTTTTTCTTTTTCCGTGTCCGGCAACGGATTGCAACCCTCAGTGTCGCCCCCCGTACCGGACCGGGACCAGCAACGGGATCGCAACCCTCGGTGCTGCTCCCGCTCCTCGCTCAGCCAGTGAGCGGGAACCGGTCTGCATGTGGGATCCGAACCCTCGGCGGGAGCGCCGCCGCGCTTCCCAAGCGGCGCACTATAGCAGTGCGCCACCGGGCCGGCCCCTGAAATTTAAATTCTAACAGGCAGTCATTCTGTTTAGGATTAGCATGTTGGTCCTGCCTGCTTTTCTAGAGTGGGTTTCCAAAGAAAATTAAATTTTTAGAGACATTGTGGTACTATCCTAGTTGGTTTGGTTTATCAGGTGCTGTTTGGGGTACTCTGCTTTCTAATGGCATTTCTTCAAATGAAGAAGAAATTTCTGCAGAGCAGGCCTACTGTTGTCTCTTTTTTTTTTTTTTTTTTTTTTAGGAAGAATGTAGTCTAGTTTCATGAAAATAAAAGCACAGTAAGACAGGGTGTTTTTTTGGGCCATATTTCCTGTTTGAAGGGGTCCACTAGGTTCTCCTGTATTTGACTGGAACCTCTTCTGTTTTGTATTTTCAGTGATGGGAATGAGCCTGGTCATCCCTCTTTTTAATGGGGCAGTAGAGAGATGATGCTAATATTAACACTTTGTTGGTCTAGTCCTGGGATCCCTAGCCAGTTCATAGTTCTATTTTTAGTTTTCCAAGTTCTCTTTTGGTTGTCTTATGTTATTTTCAGGGTTGACAATTGTTTGTTAAGCTGATTTTGACAAATGCCAGTATAATTCAGTGGTGATAGGACTGTGTTTTCAGTAAGTGTTACTGGAACAAACAATTGGACATCCGTACAAAAAAATATAAACCTGAATGCAGACCTCACACCTTAAACAAAATAAATCTCAAAATAGAGCACAAAATGGGTTATACATGTGAGTTTAAAATACAAAACTATAAAACTTCAGGGAAAAACTGCATAAACTTGGTATGTTTTTACATTCATCACTTTGCCACTATCCTTGTAAAAAGAAAAATTGATGTTTGACCTAGTTCACATTAAAATCTTTTGATCTGAGAAACATTGTGTAAAGAATGAAGAAACAAACCATAGACTGGAAGAAGTCACATATTGAATGAAGGATTTTATACAGAGAAATAAAAAAACCTTTGAAAGTGCAACAGTAATATAAAAAAAATTTTAGTGTTGAAAATATCTAAAAAGCTACACACTGAATAAGATACATATATACATCTATGAAACAAATACATACATGTATGCATATAAATATATGAAAAGATGCCCCAAATCATTAGTTGCTAGGGAGATTCAAATTAAAACACAAGTTACATGGCAACATACATTTTTATTTATTGTTATTGGGAATACAGAATGAAACAGCTGGGCTAGCTGGTTAGCTTAGTTGATTAGAGTGCAGTATGACACCGAGGTCAAGGGTTTGGATCTTCATGCTGTCCACTTCCCCTTATCCCCAAAAGAAGAGAGAGAAAAAAAGAAACAGTTACTAAGACAGTTTGGCACTTTCTTATAATATTGAACATAAACTTTCCATGTTACTCAACAGTTCCTCTTCTACGTATTTTCCCAACTGACTTGAAAACAGAAGTCTTATCAAAAACCTGTATGTGAATCCTTTTAACAGTTTTAGTCACACTTGCCAAATTTTGGCTCTGTGTGTGTGTGTGTGTGTGTGTGTGTGTGTATTCCTTAGGATTTTCTATACTTTTTGCTATTTGGATAGCTTTTATTTCTTTATCTTGGCTAATTCCTTATGTTAGAACTTTTACTACTATGTTGAATAGAAGTAATGATTTTAGTTTCTTTTGTGATTCCTGATTACAGGAGAAAAGCTTTTAGCATTTCAGTGAGTGTATTATTTTGGAGTTTTTCATGTATGGCCTTTCTCATGTTGAAGAAAATCCCTTCGGTTTCCAGTTTTTGAGTTTTATTTTTTGTAAATCATGAAAAGGTGATGGATTTTGTCAAATGCTTTTTCTGTTTGATGTGCTTATTCATTTTTAATTGTATTTTTTACAATTAAATTTTTTGTGAATGTTTTACTTTATAATTTCCTCCTCAGTTTTTTTCTAGCGGTCTTTAGCATGCTTATTTGAAAATTTCTTCTATAAAAGTGTCATTTATTAATTTAATTTTTATATACATGTAAACTCACATTTCATAATTTAGGACTTTTACATTTATTAAATGTTTTGCTGTGTGTGTGTGTGTGTGTGTGTGTGTGTGTGTGTGTGTGTGTGTGTGTGAAGTGTTGATCCTTATGTATATGGGGATCTTTTAGATGTAGAGTTTGTGACGATATTTAGATTGTGGCATCCTGGGGAAGGGGTGTGTGAGAGAGACAGAAGTTAAATGGTGTTTTCTACCTCTTTACTTCTTTCTCTGCCAGGTTTGATTAGTCTTTTTATTCTGTAGCCTGGGTTTATTCAGATTGATTTAATTGTGTTACTGTGCTCATTCGATGCAGTTGTTAGCAGTCCTTGGCATGACTTTCTCTTTTTGTTATTGTTCTTAAAAAATTTTTAAGTTGTTTAAATAGTCTAGATTATGAACAGAAGCCTTTTTAACCATTGTTTTCCTGAGTATGTTTTAAAGATAGTATTTATCAAATTTTCTTTTGTTAGTTTTTCTTTTTGTTTTGAAGGAGGTATCAGTAACATTATGGCTATAAAATAGTAGGTTTTAGTTTTACTTGTACTTTTTGAGGGAGAACTGTGGACAAATGGATTCACTTAGAAATTTACCTATAACCTTAAAATTTACAAACATTGCACATTATTACATCTGTGGGATGTGTAATGTCTTTAAAGTTATAAATATTTACAAATATTTTCAAAGAATATATTCTAGAGTACAAATTGTATATTTTACATTGAATATTGGGTTTAAATTTTAACTACTTTTCTTGTCTAGACTTTGTAAAAAGATAGTTGCACTTATTCTATTGCTTTCTAAGTTATCTATCTTTTCTTTGGAAGTGTTTCTAGGCTAATAATCTTCTGTAGCTTTGTGAATGTTATTAAATAATGTGAAGTTGAAGTTTTCTTTGTAAATGTTGTGATACTCTAAATTTTTCAAGTGCATATTTTGGTGACACCTTGTTATTTTGAATGTTAGTTTTTTAAAAATCTTAAAGGAGAAAAGGTCTGCATTAAAAAGAATTATTTAAATTAGTCTCAGGTATCTTGTCCATGTATTTGGGAAAATACTATCTATTATATATGATACAGGTTAAAGTAATGGACTAAATTGTCAAAGATGGGTCACCGTCTCTTCCAAACACATAGAAATGTTTGATAATTTGAATGTTAGTTTTATTAATTGGTAATCTGAAATGTTTACTGTTCAGGGCCAAAGAAATACTCAGTTAATAAATTTGCACATTTTACTTTCAGTAAGTTTTTTATAGTGTTGAAACTTTTAAAATGATATTCTGTAAATTCTGATATACTATTTCTTTAAAATTGTATTGGTTTAATTTTTATTCTGCTTCATTTCTTAAAAGCTTAACTAAGTTATGGGCATCTGTGCATTTTAAAAATGTAAAGTATTTCTATTTAAAGATTTCTAATTGTATTTTCTGTAAATATCCTCTTTTCCTCTGTTCTTTAGAGGAGGTATCATTCTGCAAAAGAAGCCTATGAACAACTTTTACAGATGGAACATCTTCCTGCACAAGTAAAAGCAACTGTATTGCAACAGTTAGGTACAGAAACATTAATTTTTATTATACATTATGTAAATTTGAAGAGGTTTTCATTTGGGGGAGCAGTTTTTACACTGTTTAAAAGTCCATTTTCATTCAGAAATCGATGTTGTAGGATTAAATGTGACATGTATTATTTTGAGATTAAATTTATAGTGAGTACTTTAAAAATGTTTTCTTTTATAACTGTATTTCTTTTCCTCCTTTTGTCCAGAGTTGATGCATTTTCACCTACTGTTAAGCAAACTTTGTGTCACTATTCATCTAAATAGTGTTTGAGTACAGCAAGTACTTTCAAATTCTTGTTATTATCTCCTAATACTTGACCAAGGGAGGTAGTGTGAATACTTGCATGTGCTTTTGGCACTGTATGAAATCAGTTGAATTAAGATCATTCACATAGCTAGTAAGTGGCTACTGAGCTTGCTTTCATAGTTATGTTGATAATATGATTAATGGAAACATTTCCCTTAAAAATTATAGAACATCTCATTCCATATTTAACTCCAGGGAGTTTGTTATATTCTCATATTGAAGATGAGGGAATATTTTGAAATATTTTTTATTTCAAAAGTAATATGAAATGACAGGATGGGTCTTCAAAAAGTTAATGGAAGGATTCATATTATCATCTAATTCAATTTTACATGAACTTTTTGATGTGCTCTCATATATTGCTGTCACTTAGAAGATACAGAGGCTTCTCCCCTTAATTTTTTTGCTTATTTGACTTGTCTGTAATTGGTATTTGGGTCAGGGTTTATTTGTTTTTTCTTTCAGTGTTCATATTTGGTATCAGCAAAAATAATTCCTAATTTTTAATGAAGGTTGTGGTAATATGAACGTTTTTATGATGTCTCTATTTTGTCTATAATTTCAAAATCAATTTGACATACTTTGCTTAGATAATATTTTTGCAGAGGTGATTTATTCAATTGAATTGAGTCAGAACTGAAACATCAATTTCTGTTTGACTTGAAAGTTCAGAATATAGTTCTCCATGATCTAGTTTTTCAGTTGTCTGTATAGCTGAAGTCTAAATCAACTTATTAAACAAACGTTTGTGGTACATACTATGTATTACTCTTTTGGCTGTTTGAACCTGTTTTTCATTTAGCCTTTCCATACAGTCATAATATAAGTAATCAAGAAAGATGTAGTGCCTTTTGTTAGTTTTTAAAATTTATTTTAAGTGAATTATTTTTGAATATTCAAGCTTTTATTTATTCTTTGGAAATAAACATTGGATTGATAGGTTGCTTTTAAAATTCTCTTGGTGCATGGTAACCTTTAAAGGAAAAGTAAATTTATCATTTTTATCCTTTTTGGTTCATAACTTGGATTTTTTTTTTTTCAAAATTAAATTTAGAAAGGAGAATTTGTGATTTGAAACCTGTATGTCAATCCAGTGCCCAAAGTCTTGTAAATTTCTCTCTGTTCCTTAAGAACAGAGCTGCATTTTAGCTTTAGACTATATCTTTTTGTGTGAAATAGACTTTCTTGTAAATTTGGGGGAAGTGTGGTCCAAGGTAAATTAATAAATTACTGAAGGGTATTTTGATTTGCTTATTTCCTTCATAGTATTCTTAAAACTAGAATAGTTAAATGATGGGTAATGTTTACAATTTTTTTAACTATAGGTTGGATGCATCATAATATGGATCTAGTAGGAGACAAAGCCACCAAGGAAACCCATGCTATTCAGTATCTCCAAAAGTCACTGGAGGCGGATCCCAGTTCTGGCCTATCTTGGTATTTCCTTGGAAGGTGAGACCAGACACTTGTCCTGCCTGGAAGTGATTTACAATGTAAAATGTTAGTTTATATAAAATATAATCTGATTAGTGACATTTTTATTTTAAATACATCATAACAAAGATTCCTGGGAGATACAAATGATAGCTCTGTATCTGGCTATTTTAATTGAAATATTCTTATTTTGCTTATTAGATTTTGTTTTTACACTGTCTTAATCTGATATGAATTATTTATTAGTTTTTAAAGACTTTTAAAGAGTCTTGTCAGACAGTAATGACTAATAGTTTTTCAATTCAGTATTTAAATTGTTTCCCCTCTGATTAGTAGCATTGCTTATTTTATTTTATTTTATTTTATTTTTTAGTAAAATTTATAGGTATTTCTAATGGTGAGCTACTCTTGTATTGTTGGAACAAACCCAATTTGGTCATGACATCTTTTTATTCACTACTAGACTTGTTTTATGTTTGTTTGTTTTTAAGGACATGCACTGTTCATAAAAGAGACTGTAATTTTCTTTTTCTTTCTTCCAAACTGTGCTTTTCTGGTTTTGGTTTCAAGGTTTAATTAGCCTCTTAAAATAAACTGGAGATTAAAGAATTTCATATATATATGTAAAATTGCTACTTTTTGTAAAAGAATGTCATTTTCTGTTATTTGGCAGTATGGAACTTTGTATATAAAACTTCTTGGGTCTTGTTTTTTAAGTTTTTTTAGTTGCTTTAAAGTCCATAGTACTCTATTACTTATAGTGTAGGCATTTACAATGATATAAGTATTTAAACATGCCCTCTAAGCATTTTCTTATATATTTATTAACAACAGAAAATTTTAAATATTTTTTTTTCTGATAACTATAAGTCACACATGGAAACATGCTATTTATTGTCTTGGTTGGTGATTTTGTACATTAATATGGAAATATTTATATTAATCACAGACCTCAAATTACAATTTTATTTTAAATTTGAAATTGAGAAAATGGATAGGTTATTATTGGGTTTGTTGGAAAGGGGGAAGGAATATAGAAAATAGTTCTTGTAATCCAGCACTTTTTCTCCATACTTTTTCTTACTTTGGATATTGATTATCTCAGTTATATTTACTGGTACAATATATATGTACCACCTAGATTATATGTTTGTATATGTGTCTGTTGTTCTTAATCACCAGATTGTATTTTAGTGTTTTTGAAAGATCAAAGGACTGAGAACTGAGAAACTTGGCTTTGCTATTTAGTATTTGTGGTGTCATTGACAGTTCATTTAAACCACTTAAGGTCTCAATTTTCGTTTCACCTGTTGCATGAGAGGATTAGATCTATCAGGTACCTTATCACAAAGTTATAAACCTAATTTAGTTGTTCTACTTTATTTTAATTACAAATTTTGCCCTATTTGTTTTTACATAGGAGAGTCTATTTTAAGTAAGTTTTTCATGTAATCACATTCCAATTTAGTTTTTGTATACTGTACCATTTTTTCCTTTAAGTTTAATAAAAATATATTTATATAAAAGGGAATCTGTTATTAGGATGATTCCTTCTTTAAAAAACATTTGGTTTTCTATTAATAATGTATAGTAGGAATTAACTGTGAAGTTAACTGTTTATTGCAGAGCTTTTCAAATATACCTTAGCCTTAAAACATAGTTGTGTTTGGGTTGCTTGTAATGTAGAACTTGAGAGCCCATACTTTGTTTTTCTGCACTAAAGGTTTCAGAAGTGGTGGAATCTTTTTTTTGTATCTTCTTGGCACAACAAAGTGCTTTGAGCAAACTGGCTTTATTACTAAATGAAATAGTTCTATTACCTAATAGAATAAATTAACATTGGGTTTAGAGCTAGCGCTATTACTACTGTTAGCTTTTTGTTGATCTCCAGAAATACTGCTTATTTCTCCCAGCATTTAACACAGTGACTGTAAAATAAGCTATTCCCAGAAAGGGGGAGAGGCAAATTTGCCTGATAATTTGAAATTTGGGTTTGATTTAAGAAAAAAATCATATTTTTCTGTTTGTTAATATTCACATTCTCACTAGTGTCTGGCCCTGTTTGTGTAGTTGCTTTCTTCTGCTGAATTTTACTCTGTCCTCCGCCACCACCTCCGACAAGAGGTTGTATGGACTCTTTGAACTTGTCTTCTCTGTCTCATTTCTTAAATTGGCATTTAAGAATTTGGCATTTCTTAATTTATTAATTTCTCTGGCATTTCTTAAATTTCCCAACCCACAGATTAGTCAGTTATTTTTGCTTCTCGCTGTGTGCATCCTGTGTTCTTATTAAGATCTCTAAATTTAAGATGTCTTACCACATCTAGTTTTTTGTTTTTTTTTAACTGAATAGTACCAAAGCCCTTATCTCACATTTAAATTAGCATTTTTTTAAAACCTCCTTCCTGGAGTTCTTTCTCAAACTATTTACTTTCCTACATTTTTTTGGTTTTGTTTTCTTGGTAATGATACTTACATTTTCTCACTGAACCAGGCTTAAAAACAGAAGTATTATTCTGCGCCCCCGTATTCATCAATCATTGTATTTATTCTTCTCCCCATCTTTTTCCTTTTTGCCATTTCCTTTACTTTCCCTTTAATTCTGTATCAGTGTATGTATATCCCTGTTCAAATTTATTTTCATTTTAGTCTTTATTTTTCAATATACAAATTGTTAGCACATTTAGGTTTCTATAAAATACATTTTCCATTCTACGTGGTCTATTAAAGAAATAAACCCCAGATTGGTTATAGACTAGATTTAAGATTTTTCAATTGTAGGCTGAATAATTTTTATGTATATTTTTCAAAGCTTATGAAATGCTTTCATGTTTTTTGTTTTGATCTCTGGTTCTCAGGCATTTGGAATATGCAGATTAGAACAATTTTAATGAGTAAGTGTAGTGATCAACATAGAGTGTCTGTGTCAGCAAAGATATTAAAGCACTTATTGTTTCCTATCACCCATTGTCATAATAAGTGAAATTATGCAAATAGCTTCTTGGAAACACATACCCACACGTGGAATTCCTACAAATTCCTACATAATAACATACAAGAACATAAAAATCAGAGAGAACTACATGTTGGTAGTGATTTCTATAGTAGGTTTAGTTTTTCTTTCCCAGCAAATAACACAGATAACAGTGAATAATTATTATTTGTTGGGAAAAGAAAATTAAATTTGATTGTAGAAGTTGTTATCAGCACATAATTTTCCCTTTGTTTTAAACTATATTCTAATGATATGGAAAACCTGAATTCAAACTATATCAATAGAGATTCATGTGTTTACCCCTTAATATTAGAACAGTAAAGAAATTTAGGGTCCTGTAGTTTCAGTAGAGTTCATTATTATAACATGGTGTACCACATACAAGACAGTTCATATAACAGCAAGTTATAATGTAGATTACAATTATTATATATAAATCTATGTATGTAAGTATATATGTGCATACGCACAAACACACATTAGTTTATTTTTTTCCTGCTTGTACATGCCATCATTTTGGCAAATAATTTAATTATTAATGGGATTTTATTTATTTATTTGTTTATTTATTTATTTATTTTCCTTTTAGGTGTTATTCAAGTATTGGGAAAGTTCAGGATGCCTTTATATCTTACAGGCAATCTATTGATAAATCAGAAGCAAATGCAGATACATGGTGTTCCATAGGGTAAGACTGTGTATATAAAAATACTGTTATTTCAGGGGCCGGCCCGGTGGCACACTGCTACAGTGCGCCGCTTGGGAAGCGCGGTGGCGCTCCCGCCGAGGGTTCAGATCCCATGTACAGACCGGCCGCTCACTGGCTGAGCAAGGTGTGGGAGCAACACCGTGGGTTGCGATCCCGTTGCCGGTCCTGGTCCGGTACGGGCGCGACACTGAGGGTTGCGATCCGTTGCCGGTCACGAAAAAAGACAAAAAGGAAAAAAAAAAATACTGTTATTTCAGTTGGTACTCAGGATTATTGAGACACACAATATACTGTGCAAAAATATTATAAAACTAACCCGTTTTTGACAACTTACTTTTTATTACTTTTTCTAGTGTGCTGTATCAGCAGCAAAATCAGCCTATGGATGCTTTACAGGCCTATATTTGTGCTGTGCAATTGGACCATGGGCATGCAGCAGCCTGGATGGACTTAGGCACTCTCTATGAGTCCTGCAGCCAACCCCAGGATGCCATTAAATGCTATTTAAATGCAACTCGAAGCAAAAGTTGTAGTAATACCTCTGCACTTGTAGCAAGAATTAAACTTTTACAGGTAAAACTTTTCTAAAGCATATTTTAAGACACAATATTTTCCTATAATTGTCAGGAAAAAGGTAGCTGGAAAGTTTGTCTGTTTTGTCTTTTGATGTTAACTCGTTTCCGTACCTTGTGATATTTTGTGATATTGTTTTACTTTTCAATTTAAGTAAGATATGTGCCATTTAAAATATGTTCATATGTTCTTTTTGTACATTTACTTTGTTGATGCATAGTCTTTTGTTAATGCATATTAATCTACAAGTTTAAATTGATACACATAAGCATTTTCCAGTATGCTATCTACATTTTCAAGTTGTCATACCATTTTAAAGAAAAGAACACACTGTTTTTCACTCTAGGTTGAAATTTCATAAAAAGATACTTATGAGAACTCTTAAAAACAGAGCTTAGCTTTGCTCTAATTCTCACTAATATAATATAGTTGCCCTCTTTATACTTAGCATCTTTCTAAAACTCCAAATTGAGATTTATTTTCTTTAAAAAATAAATACCTCTAACATTGAGGAAGATTTAGTGGACTTGCTCTGACTTAAGTAGGCTTGTGTTAAATTTGCTTTTTACATAATTTTTCCTAGGCTCAGTTGTGTAACCTTCCACAAGGTAGTCTACAGAATAAAACTAAATTACTTCCTAGTATTGAGGAGGCGTGGAGCCTACCAATCCCCGCAGAGCTTACCTCCAGGCAGGGTGCCATGAACACAGCACAGCAGGTGAGAAGTTGGGTTATATTCTGCAGGTGCCCAGCTTTAAGGGTTCTTTCCAGTCTGTAGTAATCACACTTATCTTACTAAATGCAGGATTGGCTTTTTTAAAATATAAAAATCCTTTTAACTTAAAAATAAAAATCTTTTAAATTTCATTGCAAATAGATTTTAGGTTAAAATAAATCTCCCTCTGGTATGGGAAGAAACTTGGGGTACCAATTAAAAACTTTTGTGTATTCTCATAATTCGAATATATAAAGAAGGATTTCTTCTTGAGGGACTTCTAAAAAGTGTTTTGTTGAATTTAAAAAACCAAGTTTTTCTAAAGAAGGTACACATTTCTCTATTGATTATTTGATTAATTTGATTTTGATTATCAATAATTTCATTCAGTGATGTCCACCTTGAAAAGTATAGAGTTTATAATGCTTTATAATTTGAAGGACTGAATTAAGACTATGTAGAACCATATATTTTGTCTCACTTCTGTGATCCTTAGGCTTATAAAACTCATGATCCAAATACTGAACGTGCATTAGACCTCAGTCAAACACCAGTTTTGCAACAATCTTTGTCACTACACACTATTACTTCTAGCCAAGTAGAAGGCCTGTCCAGTCCTGCCAAGAGGAAAAGAACATCTAGTCCAACAAAGGTACATGTACATTTTAGAGATATGGAAAATCTAAATAAAAAATGAGGCTCCCACTCTTCTGAAATTGTGCTAGTCTTGTATTTTGGACATTGGAGAGTGAAGCAGTATTTCTGTCCCGTAATTTTTGCATCATATTAAATAGAAGAGAGGGATAAGTTTATGTTCATCAAATTATTTTATTCATTTCCATGCTTTTGCAGTTTTAACAGTTTTTACCAATGTTTTCTACTGACATTGAAATAAATTTAATATTGTGTATAATGAACAACCTTTCTAACTCTTTGAAATGTAATTTAGATATGAAACTTTCCCCAAAATTTGTTTCCAAATTAATTATTCACTTGAAATTATTTTCTAAGTGATTTAAAAGCATAAGATTATTATATGTAAATTTTCTAATCCATAGTCATTTGATATCTCACTAGCCATAATTGTTAGTGTATGAGTTAACCAAATATTCCTAATTTTAAAAAAAAAATTTTCCTCAGAATGGTTCTAACTGGAATAGTGGCCAAACTGTTTTGCATCTTCCAGTACAGCAGCAAGCTCATTCGTGGTGCTTGACACCACAGAAATTACAGGTAGGTATGATATATTCTTTTGACAGTTTTTTCCCCCAATTTCAAAGCAGTAGAAGTAGTAAATGTTAAGTTTTTTAGGTATTAAGTCAGAAAATTAAATAGCACTCAAGGTAAGTAAAATGAGCACACATTTTCCAGAGTGATAGAAATCATTATTCATTTTTTTGTCAGGGTGGAGGTGGGGTGTATGGATGCCACAAGATGGGATACACAGGAAAAGTCTTCTTTCAGTTTCTGCTTCTGACCATGTTTTCACTTTACCACAGACAGACAATGTTAGTAGTTTCTTTCTAGAGATACAGATTTTACATGTACAGATCATATAAATATATCTGTCTAATAGATTCCTTTTTTCCCAAAAGTAAAACTATAAGTAGTATCTCTCTCTCTCTCTCTCTCTCTCTCTCTCTCTCTCTCTCTCACACACACACACACACACACACACACACACACACACACACACACACACACACACACACACACACGTAGTTCAAGGTATTGTCAATGCCTAAGTATTGCTTCTTTATTTTATGGCTATGAATGTTCCATTTATGGCTGCATGGAGCACACCGTGATTTAACTCAGATTCCTGTTGTTGGGCATTTAGGTGGTTTCTAATGAATTTGTTAAAAACAGTGTTGCTTTATGAACTTTTGTCATAACACGTTTTAAGTTAAATAGCTTTCTTTCTGAAATTTCATTCCCCCAAAATTCATTTAACTCAGAACATATAAAATATGTTCAGATGCATATTTAGATTTTACTGCCTTTCTCAGACTTCTGAAAGAAGTCTTGGGATTGATTACTGTTGGTTTAGAATCACTGTCTTCTGTCACAGATAGTTTCCTATTTTATAGTCTTTTTAGTGAAAGATTGTCTTATAATGTCTTTATTTTTAGATTAATCTTCGTATCACTTTTCTTCTTCTAGCACTTGGAACAATTGCGTACAAATAGAGATCATTTAAATCCAGCACAGAAACTGATGCTGGAACAGCTAGAAAGTCAATTTATTTTAATGCAGCAACAAGTATGTACAACATTTCATTTTCTATAAAATTTATCAGCATGTTGAATATTTTTCTTGACTATAGTATCATTTTGGAGTATGTTAATGCTTATTTTTAGTTCCTATGTGTATTCAATGGAATTTATGTATGTAAGCTTTAAATACTAGTAATGGACAGATTTTTTTTGAGCAAAAATAACCAAAATTAATTTAAAACAAAATACTTATTACTATTTCTTTGCATAATATTTCATTTATAGTCTGTGTATCTTTATTATTTAATAATTAATAAATTATCTTAAATTGAGGTAGAGATGTTTTAGTGGTTGTTTGATTTGACGGATTTGGTATAAATATAATAGAAAGGCAAATTGAAATTCTCTGTTTCCTGATTTAAAAAGTCCTATACATTTCTGACTCATTATCCATAATTTTTAGATGCTTTCTTTTGCCCTTACAATTGTTAATAAAGGGAGGTTTCTTTAACTATAAAATGAAACATGATCACTTTATGCAGTGATCATATTTAAAAATGAATATGGGTTTTTTGGTTTTAAAGTGTGTTTTTTTAACTAAAGGGATGAAATGTTATAATAAAATTAGAGATGTGTCAATTACACAGTTTCAAAATCACACCAAGCAGGTTTTCTTTTTTGTTTTTGAAGATGAGACAAACAGGAGTTGCTCAGGTACAAACTACTGGAATTCCTAATGGGCCAATAGCTGACTCTTCAGTGCCTACAAACTCTATCTCTAGCCAGCAACCACATGCTGCTCTGACCAGAGTACCTAGCATCTCTCAGCCTGGAGTTCGCCCTGCTTGTCTTGAAATGCCTTTGTCCCATGGACCTTTTTCTGCAGGCTATGTTCCTTGCAGCACATCAGAATCTCTAGGGAGTACAGACACTATTTTGGTAGGCAATAATTATGTAACAGAAAGTGGAAGTAATGGAAATGTGCCTTACCTGCAGCAAAACGTTCTTACTCTACCTCATAACTGCACAAACCTGACCAGCAGCACAGAAGAGCCATGGAGAAAACAACTATCTAACTCCACTCAGGTAAAAGAAAGACTAGCTGCTTTGTTGGCTCTTATATAATAGTTAATCTTTATATGGCTTGTTTCCATTCAGAGAAGAGGAACTAAAAATTTAAGGAATGGTTTTACCTTTAAAAACTAATTTGAGGGCTGGCCCGGTGGCGCACTGGAGAGTGCGCCGCTTGGGAGTGTGGCGGCGCTCCCACCGAGGGTTTGGATCCCATGTAGAGACCGGTTCCCGCTCACTGGCTGAGCGCGGTGTGGGCGCAACACTGAGGGTTGCGATCCCGTTACCGGTCAGTAAAAAAGGTCTTGTTATAAATGTGTGAATAAAGAAGCACTTGTATTATTATAAGAAGTACAAAATTTGTATTTCTAAAACTTAATAACTTCCATAAATTCTTTCCTTTAGAAAAAGTAAAAATAGGGCCGGCCCGGTGGTGCACTGGAGAGTGCGCCGCTTGGGAGTGTGGCGGCGCTCCCACCGAGGGTTTGGATCCCATGTAGAGACCGGTTCCCGCTCACTGGCTGAGCGCGGTGCGGGCGCAACACCGAGGGTTGCAATCCCGTTGCCGGTCCTCGGTACGGGCGTGACACCGAGGGTTGCGGTCCCGTTACCGGTCAGTAAAAAAGACAAAAAGGAAAAAAAAAACTAATTTGAAGTAATTCAAACCATATGAGAATTTTAAGTGGTACAGGATTATTACTATATTTTAACTCTGTCTCAGGCACGTGAGTGTATTTACTTATCAGCTATAAAATTAGTGTAACTAAAAATTATGTTGAAGATAGTATGGAAGTCAAAGGAAAAGAAGAGAAAAAATTATAGCCTTATCATTCCCCCAACCGCAAGTATTAATAATTAATTACAATGGGAGAAAACGACTAGTTACATTTAAATTACGATGAATTTCAGTAAAATGTGTCATGAGCTAATGAGCAAGTGCCTTAAAAAGGAAAATGTTCTAGAGACTAAGATCACTGAGCAGATTTGGAAAGAGAAGGTGAAATGTGAGGCTTCATGAAGGGCCTCATTTATCTGAGGGCAAATGGAGCCATTAAGGTTTAAATGTACAGACAAGAATTTCTTGAACCTCTTTGTTATTGTTATTGATTATTAGACTTTAATTTTTAGAGCTGTTTATGGAGTATAGAAAAATTAGACAGAAAGTACAGAAAGTTCCCATTCCCTCTTCCATCCCTCATGTTTTCTCCTATCACTAACATCTTGCATTACTATATTTCAGTTGATGAGGAAATACTGTTCATTAACTGAAGCGCAGATTTCATTCACTCAGTGTTGCACATTGAATGGGTTTTGACAAATGTGTAATGACGTGGCATCCACTCATTTTTACATATGGAATGAAATATTTTGCTATCCTAAACAAACCCTATGCTCCATCTGTTTATCCCTTCCTGCCTCCACCTAAACCTGTGGCAACCATTGATCTTTTTATTTTCTCTATAGTGTTCCCCTTTCCAGAATGTAATACAATTGGAATTGTAGGAGCTAAAGGAAAACTTCCTCTTCTCCCCTGAAGTTCGTTAATTAAAATCACTAGCAACTTTAGACCAATATGAAGAAAACATTTAACAAATTTTATTATTTAACATGCTGGGAAAAGCACAGGAGAAGTCACAAGAGAGTTATGTCCCAATATCCAGTGGTGGTAGAGTTTATATTCTAGTGTTCATAGAGAGAGAAGGAGGGGAGAGATACAAGCCCCAGAACCATGTTCTGAGACCAGGTTTGTTTGAAGTTCTGGGCCAGTGTGTCCCAGCTGGTGAAAGAAATCAGAAGTTAAAATTAAGTAGAGGTATCTTGTATACAAATGAAAATTCTTCAGGTGATCTCATAGCTGTCCACAGAAAGAATAGGTAGTAGCCAAAGGAGGGCACCTCAGAGGAAGTCTCCTGGCTTGTATATACAGATGTAAATTTCCTCCCATGAAGAAACAACCTTCTAGCCAATCTTGTTTTTCCAGTGTCTCTGAATTAGTCATCTAGAAATATGTCAAGAAATCCATTTTGTGACCAAAATATTTTGTTTTCCCACAGAGTCATATAGTGTAATGACAGTCCTTTGTGTGGATGTACTGCAGTTCATCTATTCACCTACTGAAGTACTTTTTGTTTACCACCATGAATTGGCAATTACAAATTAAGCTGATATGCCAGTTTTTGTGTAGGCATATTCTCACTTCATTTTGGTAAATACCTAGGAGTGTGATTGCTGGATTAAATGGTATGTGTTTAGTTTTGTAGGACATTACCAAATTGTCTTCTACCTGAAGTGAATGAGTTGCTTTACATCCTCATTGGCATTTTAGTGTTTTCAGTGTTTTGGACTGTTTTAATTATTAATGAAGGATGTAGTGATATTTCATTGTCATTTTAATTTGCTGTTTCCTAATGCTGTATCTTATAGAAGAGCTTTTCAAATGCTTGTATGCTATCTATATGTCTTCTTTGGTGAGGTGATTTCAAACCTTTAGCCCAATTTTAATCAGGTTATTTTGTTTTTATTGTTTAGTTTTAAGAGGGTTTTTTTTTTTTTGTAAATTTTGTGATAACAACCACATTTTGGGTATGTCTTTAGCCAATATTTTCTCCCAGTCTGTGGCTTGTCTTCTTTCCCTATTTATTTTTTTTGCAGTACCTTTTACAGGGCAGAAATTTTTTAATTTCAGTGAAATCCAGCTTATCAATTGTTTCTTTCATGCTTCATGCCTTTGGAGTTATATTTAAAAGTTGTTGCAAAGTCTAAGGTTTGCTCCAGTGCTATCTTCTGGAGGTTTTATAGTTTTGCAGATTGATCTGTGATCCATTTTTATTTAATTTTTGTGAAGGGTGTGAGGTCTGTCTGTAGATTCATTTTTTTGCATGTGAATATACAGTTCTAGTAGCATCATTTGCTGAAAACATTATCTTTGTTTCATTGTATTGCCATTGTTCCTTTGCCAAAGATAGGTTGATTATTGTTTCTGGGCTCTCTGTTCTGGTGGACTGATCTATTTTCCTGTTCTTTCACCAGTTCCATACTGTCTTGATTACTGGAGCTCATACAGGAAGACTTGAAGTTAGGCAGTGTCCGTCCTCTGACTGTTCTTCTCATTCAATATTGTGTAGGCTGTTCCAGTTCTTTTGCCTGTCCATATAAACATTGGAATCAATTTATCTATACTATCAAAATAAGTTGGTGTATAAATCTATTTAAATTTGTGAATGTTTTGTTAAGGATTTTTGCATCTTTGTTCATGAGAGATAACGGGTTTGTAGTTTTTCTTTTTTGTCATGTCTTTGTTTGGTTTTGGCTTTAGGTTAATGTTGCTTATTAGGGTATAGGTCTATACAGATTATGTATTTTTCGTTTTGTGAATTTTGGCAGATTATATCTTTCAAGTAATTGGTTTATTTCATCTAGGTTATTATACCTTTGAGCATAGAGTTGTTCATAATATATTTTTATAATGATTTTAATGTTCACAAGATTAGTAGTGGTGGCTCCTCATTCAAGTCTGATACTTGTGTTACCAGAGGAGAGTGTCTGGTGTAGGTCTGACCTTTCAGTCCTGTTCAATAACAGGTCTTGACTCTGCCACAGTAAAGAATTCAAGAATGGAGTAAGAGTAGAAAGTGAAAGCATGTTTATAGAAAGAGTAAGGAATACATACTTTAAAGGCAAAGTGCAGGTAGACTCGAGAATGAGTTGCTGCCTTGTTTTGCCCTGGCCTTTTATAGTTGGCTACCTAACATTTTCATGCTGTCTATGGATATTTAACTAAGGGGGTGGTTCTTGGTTATGTAACTCTTACATAACTCCTAGTCTGTGTATGCTTAACAACAGACTTTGATTATTTTTGCCTTCTGTGGTCTTAATCTCCATGTATTGGTGCTGAAAATAGGTGCTACATGTAACAGTGGCTCAGGGCCTAGCATTGGGACTTGAGTCCTAGGGGAGTGGTTTGGGACCCAGGGTAGTGGCCTGAAACCCAATCCCAGGGAAAATGAGCACCCCATATCTCACTAGTAATTTGTGTCTTCCTTTTTTTTAGCCAGCTGGAGGCTTACAGATTTTACTGATTTTTGTGTTTTGATTTCCTGTTCATAATCTCATTGATATGTGCTCTAATTTTTATTACTTATTTTCTTGCTTTGGATTTAATTTCCTCATCTTTTTCTATTAGCCTGGAGTCAGCCCTTAGATTATTGATTTTAAATCTTTCTTCTCTTCTAATTTATGGATTCAAGGACATAAATTTCTTTTAAAATTATGTATTTATAAATTTAATTATTTTTTTCATTGTACATGTTTATGGGGTACAGCATGTTGTTTCAATATGTGCATATATTGTATAGTGATCTAATCAGAATAATTAGCATATATATCACCTAAACATACATCATTTCTTAGAAATATGGACTGCTTTGTGAATTTTTGTGTCATTCTTGCTCACGGCTATGCTAATCTTCTCTTTATCATTCCTGTGTTGGTAAATATGCTGCCTCAGTGAGCCCACAATGGCATAAATTTCTAAGTGTTGTTTTGCTGTGGCCCACAAAAGTTAGTTGTCTTTATTTTCATTCAGTTCATAATTTTAAAAATTATTTTGAGAACACTGACTTTTATATCATTGTGAAATATACTGTTTAATTTTTAAGTATTTGTGGTTTTCAAGGCATCTTTTGCTTATTGATTTTTAGTTTAATTTAATACAGTGTATATTTTATTTTCCTTTAAATTTGTTAAAGTGTATTTTGTGGACTGCAATGTGCTTTATCTGTGTGAATGATCTGGTGATCTTCAGAGTACAATTGTTCTGCTGATGTTGGATGAAGTGATCTTGAAGTAGTCTGTACACGTCAATTAGATTGAGCTGAGTGATGATGCTTTTAAGTTCTACTATATCCTTTATGATTTTCTGCCTGCTCAATCTATTTCTGATGGAGGGGTATTGAAAATTCCCAACTGTAATGTGGAGTCATCTATTTCTCCTTGTACTTCTTTCAGTTTTTACC